TACTTCATAATATTTTTAAAATGTCCTCTTTAAGGCACCGCTCGATGCCCTAATAAAATATGTATTTTCTATCTATATGACATAGGAGTAATATAATCACTATTAGTCCACCCTGTATGTATTGATTTAAGACAACATTTATAAATGAATATCTCTAATACAGGAAAACACTAAATATGCAGGTATGTGGATGTAGTGAACAATGGTTAAAATAGTAAACGGTTTATAACATTTTATTTTTAAAAAAATCTTCAATATAATTATTTAACTAACCAAGAAATGTTACAATACATTACATATCATTAATAAAATAATATTTAAAAAAATATCAAATGCAACTGGTATCAGATTAATTATTTACCCTATCGAATATATCAGAGTTTTTGGTGCCACGGTGTAGTATATCTCCACACCCCACTCCCAGTCCGAAACATTCCGTAATTATTTGTGGTGGGGCGCGATAGAATGAGAGCGACCCAACTAGTGGGGACTTTAAGATGCCCATCAGTGTACAATAACATATTAGTTTCCACAGTCATAAAAATGGGGGGGGGAATTGTTTACAGGGTGGTTAATTGTATAATTTTTACGTAAATTCACGTTTTTTCGCTTATAACTTTTTCCGATCATTTCCACGAGAAAACAGTAAAATGCTTTTTTTTTCGTCTTCAAAAGACCTACAAAACTAGCCCCCGAGCGTCAAAAAATATTGGTTAGATCAAAAGTTATAAACAGTAGAAATTTATTTATGACTTTTGAATTAAACATTTATAAACTGCGTTATTATTACCAGAACGTTTTGGCATCGCATCCTCTCATTCCTTATCACTGTCTAATAACTCACACGAAATCTGGAACCGGTAAGTTGAATAGTTTACAAGTTATGGCCTTATAAACAAATTAACTAATTATTAGTCTGGACGATCCCGAGCATCTTCAACAATCGCACTGATTTTTTTCATGGTAGGTTCCATAACAATACATTGAAATCTATCATTTTTTTTTAAACCTGGAATTTTCTTTTATGCGATGCCAAAACGTTCTGGTAATAATAACGCAGTTTATAATTCAATAGTCATAAATAAACTTCTTCTGTTTATAACATTTGATCTAATCAATATTTTTTGACGCTCGAGGGCTGGTTTTGTAGGTCTTTTGAAGACGGAAAAAAGTACTTTACTGTTTTCTGGTGGAAATGAACGGAAAAAAGTTATAAGCGAAAAACGTAAATTTACGTAAAAATTAAACAATTAACCACTCTGTAAACAATTTCCCCCCATTTTTATGACTGTGGAAACTAATACCACATATCTAACCCATATGCGACACTCCTTTGATGTGGCGTAAATGCCGCTGTTGACCTCGTCCCTTTAAATTGGATGCTAAACGTTGCCAGATTGGGCAATAAAAATTTATATCNTATCCGCTATAAATTTTCAAAATTAGTAATTTTTTATATTCACGCTTGAAGAAAAAATAGTATATGTCACTCGGAGTGGAAGGCTCATTATGTGTTTTGCCCAATTTGCTCAGCCTCGGCTAACGCCTCGGCGAGCAAACTTTTGGGCTCAACACATAATGATCGCCTTCTACTCCTAGTAACATAATATACTATTGCCGTGCATTTAAATACAAATGCCTAGGGATCGTTTAAATGAAACATGAAAAATTAAAAAAGTAATTGTGCTAATTTAGTAACACTTTAGGCTTTATTGTGGAATTTCACTTAAGGAAATAAACTGTGAGTAGGTAATGCGGCACTTTAGACCACCCCCCATTCCTCCACCTTTTCCCTTCCCCCTCCCCTTCCCCGCCAGCCAATCAGAGCGCAGCGATACCGTCATAATTAAGGATAACCGTCATGCGAAAAAGAATAATAAAAGGATAACCGCATTACCTACTACTGTGACAGTTTCAAGATATTTCTTGTTCTTGAATTTGAAATGAAGGTATTCTTCATTGCCTGATTAAATATTTTGAAGTTTTGTTTTCCATAAAACGTCTTTTTTTAATTTGTTAATTTTGCCTATTGTGTCTTTCATTTTTCAAAGTTGTTCACAAAATTTGTTTAAAAAGTAGTCAATAAATATTTTGCTTCAGCCTATGGCATTAAACGCGGCCAACTGTTGGCTTTCCATCAGCACTTGGTTGGTCCGAATCGACCCAACAGTTCGAGAGTTATTTCTTTTACAAGTAGACTAGGAGTTCTGACAAGTATTTACCTGCACACCACCTATCACCAGTGGTCCACCAGAGTCCCCGCTGCAAGTGGACTTTCCACCAAGTCCAGAAGCGCAGATGTGGGTTTCCTGAATCACACCCAAGTACGCGACGTTGCACACAGTGTTGGATATGACGGGTATGTTGACCTGTCTCAGAACTTCGGAGATGGCGGTGGATTCATCAGATTCCAAACCCCAGCCGCTGACGCGAGCTTCGTGGCCCTCAAAACTGTTGGAGGTGTCACCGGCGAGAGATACGATTTGTATGGCATCTAGAACAGTGAAGGGAATATTCTGTATCAATCTTGTATCTTTCTTTTGCGTAGTGCTAATTTCCTCCCTGTGGAATTACAACTAATTTTAACAAACTCCCCGAGATTGCATTTTATTATTAACATGTCAGTGTATTACAAAATCTTAACAACTATTTTTGTAAAAAAATCGAGGTTTCCACTGATTTTTAGCTATTTTTCGAGGGAAAGCTCTTGACGTGACAGAGAGAGCATTTCTGATGGCTCCATTGCAGCGTTGCCAGACGTCCCGATTTTGGCGGGACGTCCCGCCTTTTAACCCAAAATTAAATGTCCCGCTTTTCACGCTCTTGTTTTGTTTTTCCTTTAGGCATCAATTATTTTCTTTTTTTTTCTTAGACATCGATTTTTTTTAAGACAATTCGTTTCCCAGATATCCTGAGACCTTTTTTTTTTAGGCATTAATTACAAACCCGTAGTATGTCCCGTTTTTGAACGAAAGAATTCCGCTTTTTTATTCAAAAAGTTTCAAAATCCCGCTTTGCCAGAAAAAAAATCTGGCAACGCTGCTCCATTGCTTCCAGAAGGTCAAAAAAAAAATTGTTGTGGCTATGTAATATACACGGACCAATTTCTGAACGACCTCTGTATGTAAGCGGATGGACTAAAAAACAGTACTTACTGTTGAGTACCACTGGCGAAGGTAACCGTATCAAAGCGATATCATTGCGAAGAAGAAGCCTGGACCACTTTGGGTGAATGTAGATACTGGAAGTAGAAACCCTCACTTGAGTGGGTTCCAGGTCACGAACGCGGTGCGCCCCAAGGATCACTAACACCGGCCCAACTGCCCTAAGACACAACAGAAATCGACATTCAAAAAACCTTGGTAAAATTAAAATATTTATTATTAATGTTTTCGTAACATATATTAGAGCCAGGAAATATAGAATTCGACGCGACTTTTTGTTTCGGCAAGCTGAATTTATCACTATAGATGCTAAATATTATGTACAACATCCGCACGATAACAAAGCAACAGTATACTTAGGTGACGTGAATGTGAAAAAAATTCTGAGCCAGAGGCTCACGCATGCCTCGGTTGACTCGCTTGCCATGCCACTGAATTGCGGCTCTATCTAACAGCCTTCCGTATTCCATTTAATTAAAAAATGAAACTTTTCTGCATTTAAAATAAAAATAAATAAAATTATACACGGAAATGACGTGTAATTAAAAATGATAACTTTTTGCTACTCTCATCTTTATTTAAAATTCGACCTATGTTACGAACTGAATCTCCCTGCTGCCAAAGAGCATCAATTATTCTAGCCTTTTCCTGATCGGTGCAATGCATGTCTATTTTTGTTAATATCAGCAACAATAAACAATTTACCCAACTTTATAAATTAAAAACCTTATTTTATGATGTCGAGTAGTTGTTTAGTTTAGTTATCTTGTTCTTGAGTATTTTATTAGTGATTATTTATTTATAAGTAATACTATACCCAATAAATAGTTAATAATATTAAAATAAAAATTATAGTAGACTTACATTTTAAAATATGTTTAGAAAATAAATACGCTTTCGTAAGTTTTTGAACAAAATTTATAAAATTCAGACCGATATAATCTAATCTAAATTATTTCTGCTGGAATTCAAATA